GGATGGGAAAGAAGAGTCAGGGGGGATGAATAGAGAAAACAGTAATGATGTATAAGCATGAAAATACCACAATGAAACCCACTACTTTGTATGCCAGACTAAAATGAAAATAAAAACAGAGCTAGTGAGGCAGCTCAATGATTGAGAGCATTTATTTCAGAAGCCTGGCAAACTGAGTTCAATCCCAAGAACTCACATAAAATTAGAAGGAGGAACATGCACACAGACACATAAACACACAGACACACCATAGTCATCATTATCACAAATCTTTAATTTAAAATAAAAATTAGAAATTGTAGCAATACTCTTTCACCAGGACCAACAGTCCACAAATAAAAACATGAAGGCTTATAATTAATTATAAAAGTTTGGATTTTAGCTTAGGCTTGTCTCAGTTTGCTCTTATAATTTAAATTTACCCATTTATATTATCTACATTCTGCCATGTGGCATTACCTCTCTTCTTGCACCTCCTATTTCCTCTCCTTCCTTGATCCAGAAGTGCCAAGAATCTTTCTAAGCCCCAACCTACTACCTCCTCTGTCTCTCTATGTGTCCTCGGTACTCCAAAACTTCTATGGCTAATTTTGGTCAGCTAGAAGCTAGATCCACCCTCTGATTCAAACTAAACTTTACTGGCAGGCTTGGGAGTGTCAGAGAACGACACAGAGTACCCCACAACAAAACAGCCTAAGAAAACATGAAAATAAAAACCATTCAGAAGCTATTCCTGGGTGATACAATTATCACTAACTTTCACTTTATACTTTCTAGATTTTAAAAATAAATAAACAGAACTTTAAAAACATCCTTACCAGAATTCCATCCACAGATGAAACTTTCTCCCACGTTAACCAAGCTCTTTCTCTGACATTATCAGGTATCTTTAACTTCTGACATAATGCAGTAAATTCGGGTTCTTCAATTTCTTCAAACTCAAGCCTACCAATTGAAAACAATTACAGAATACATACACTTATAAATCAAACCAATCAAGTAAATACTTGTTTCTATAGTTTGCACATATCAGCACTGTTTTGAAAGAGATCATCTCTAAGTGTTTTAAGGTCTTATTTTATCTTTTAGTAACACTGCATACCATTTAAACATATGCTTATCTTTTTCATGGTCTTTCCAAATTACGAATACCACAAAGTAAAAAAAAAAAAAACGGCTGCTAGTATGGTGAACCAAATATACTCCAGAGCAGCAAATAGCTCTGTGAAAGACAGTAAGTGCAATGGCTGAATCACTCTGAGAAGATGGGGCAACTGCCACAGCAAGAAGAGAAAACCACACTGTAGTCAATTCAGTTCCAGCAAGAGTAGCAAACTGTAGTCCACTTATTGTGTCACGGGTTCTCTCTGCCTTTGTGCATCTCTTAGATGACGATGAACTTGAGAGACATTATTGCATCACAAAGTTCATCCTTATCTCTTTGATCTTTCTTTTTTTTCTAATTATTTCTTTCATGTGTATGAGTGTTCTGCCTGTATATATGTATGTATGTATGTGCACCGTGTGCATGCCTGGTGCTTTCAGGGGTCAAAGGAAGGTTGAGTTCACAGAATGGAGTTCACCAGAAGTGTCAGCCACCACATGGGTTCTAGGAACGGAACCCAGGTCCTCTGGAAGAGCAGTCAGTGCTCTCAACCTCTGAGCCATCTCTCCAGCCCTCCCCTCCCCTTTGACCTTTCTTAACCATAAGCTTTTAATAAATAGCTAATTCCTTTTGGTATGTATTTGAAATATAATAACAACATATGAAGAGCAACTTAACTCTTAACTCATAGGGAATTTACTATGATCTTATAAAAAATCCTATGCATGGTTTTACTGAATTTCCACATTAGCCATACTTGGTGAGTATTCTCATTCATGTTTTACATGTTCACCACACCAGAGAAATTAAAGCAGTCACTAGAAGCATAGTAAGTGAGAAGTAACCAGGATAATGAATCCTACAGGCTAACGCCATCATCCGTGCCATTAACCACTCTTCCAGCTGGGCAACTCCTCCTTCAAAGCATAATTAACTTCTGCATATTTCAGTAATGAAAGTGGCTAGCAGTCCCCTGTCTCAGCTTCCATCTATAGTACTTAGGCCAGAGACAACAAAGAAACAACACCTCAACTGTAAAAGTAGACTATCTATCATTGGAAGTTCAGATGGACCGGGCTGAATCCATCCCTAAGCAATTTTTCTAAGCTTCAGACTGAGGCAGTCCTCTTATCCTTGCTAAGAAGTCATGTGCTACATGATACTTCAGTCAATAAGGCAGTATACAACAGCAGTCCTGTAAGATTATAATGGAACCAAAACTTCACTTAGAAGACGTCTTAACCAGCACAATATTGCAGCACAATGCATTTGTTGCTTGTGCTAAAATGTAGGAGGATGCTGCTGTAAATAAGCCTACTACATTGCCACTGGTAGAAAATGATTGCATATACAATGACATACAGGGCACAATCTGAAAATAAATGCTTATGTTACTGGCTTGTGTGCTTACTGTACTATAACTTTACCACTATTTTACAGCGTTCCTATTATTAGAAAATAAAGTTTACTGTATTAACCGTATGTTTTGTCACACTGGTAGCAGCCTCTTACACCAACAGGGTTTACCACCTCTGCTGATTGCAGCAGGACGGCACAGTGACTGATCTATGTGCCATCGGTATTTACTTAAGTGCATTCTGCAATGATCGCACAGAACTCATTTAATAACACATTTCAGAGGAGGCAGCAATTCCCTATGGTGAAGCACATGTGACTGTAGGCAATTCGGAGAGCAACTGTCAGTGCTTACTTATGAGAACCTCTGTGGCAACGAGTAACCAAGAAGAGACTGCCTTGTACAGTTTTCACAGGGGCGTTTGTGAGGGCTCCCCAAAGTCACACGTGTGTAAAAGGGAAAGAAACCGGGTTCTTCCTTCCCAGGCAATGTGTATGTTTATTCTAGAATAATCAAGAATATTTCCAAATCTTTGTAGACGGCATGGAATCTTTTAGAATAGCTGTTACTGCTCTTTCTAAAAGGAAACTTTCACACACTGGGTATATCCGAGTTTAATTAGAAACGAAAGCAAAATCTTCCCCTGGAACATTCTCCAAACAGTTTGCATTCTGAACTTATTTTCGAATGAACATGATTCTTATTTGATCCATAAGACAACCCATCTAAACATGCAAATTTTTAATAGACTTAGACATTTCCAAAGTTAGTTCGGTCTATTAAGAGTATGGGGCACACGAAGAACTGCGATGTTCCTAAGGATGAAGAAACTTGGTAGCCCGACAGAGTGCTGTATGCCTACATTCCCAGCACTCGGGAGGCGGAGGCAGGAGAATAGAGAGCTCAAGGCAAGTCTGAGCTATATAGCCAGAGCACTTAGAAAAGAAAAAAAGTCAAGGACTTAACGATGGGCCAGAAATGGGAGAGGATGGCGAGGGACAGAACTGATTCCCATTCTGCAGTGGCTCTCTAAATAAAACCGGTGCTGACAATAACGACACTCATATTGTTTCAATTTCTGTTACTTAATCACACAGTAGCACGCTCAAGAAAATATAAAATGTTGAAATACAATAAATATCTCTCTGTCGTTCCTATTGGATCCACATGGACTTGCTTTAAGTTTAGCTTCCATTTAATAAATGGAGAGGAAGGTTCTTTGAGCGAACACGGTACCAAAAAAAGAAAGAAAGAAAGAAAGAAAGACCAGAACGACTGGGTGGGGGGAGCGACACCAAGATCCTTGTAAACTCAAAGGCAAAAGGCAAGAAATAACGAAGCACGCCGCGGCCAATCAGCACGCAAGAGGAGTGCTACCCTGAAAAGAAAAGGGGGGGAAAGTTAAGAAACCTGCAATCCCTTGCATTTCAATGTCTCAGGAAACTTTTGCCCACATACCAGTTCTTCTAAGAGTTCTGCTCCACCAGCCGCCACAGATGGCTTTAAATCCCCGAGGCCTCAAAGCATTGTTCTAAGGCAACCCCCCACAAAGCCCGGGAGCAGAGGACCCAGGGAGCAATTGACACCCACGACCCTGCGCTTCGCCTCCGAGGCTTTTCTTGGCCTCTCCCAGGACCGAGCTGCCAAGGCAGCGCACGCCCAGAGGAAAAGGCTCCCAACTGTTGCATCTCAGGACTGTAAAAGAGAAAATCAGCCGACCCCGGCTGGGGTGCTCCGATCGCCACGGAAGAAAAAAAAGGGGGTGGGGGTGGGGGGAAAGCAAGCAAACACCGGTCCTTTTTCTTTTTCTTTTTTTCATTTTTATTTCAAAGTTCTCGCGTCTGCCGGGGGCTCTCCGGGTCCCGCCGGCTCCACGCCTGGCGGTCGCTGGAGCGGAGCCTGCACCTGTCACTTCGCTCGGGAGCAGGAGCCCCACCCGCCCGACACCTGTCAAGCCGCAGCCCAGACCCCTCCGGGATGCCCTTGCCATCGCCCGCGAGCCCGGGACCCTGTCACAGCGACGCCGCCACCCCGCGGAGATGGGGGGCGGGAGGAACCGAGAGGTTCCCGGGGACCCCGGGCTGGCGCCGCTCCTAGCGTCAGCCCGGCCCCGCCGAG